CTCATTGGAAACATCAACACTAAAACTCCCTTCAATATCTGAGAAGATCTCCATCGGCGTGTCGGATACCGAATCTAACTCTGAGCAGCGACTTTTGGGCAGCGATGAATCAATCACAGAATAGTCGGCTTCACCGCTAAGGCACGAATCGACGGCGCCCACATCGTGACTGATGACACCATCAGCACTCTCCTGGCTTAAGCTAGTGCTCATCTGACATCGTAAGTCCGAGATCCTGATTGTCGGGTCCAAGCTAACTATTGCTCTCTCACAATCCGATAACAGCTTCTCGATCTCCTGTCGGACCTAAACAATTCAAAAAATAATTAGTACCCCTACCAATTCATTTAATAAATAAGTGAAATGAGAGTGACAAATCTAAGTGATAAAAAACGAGCAGGTCTATTATATTTGTTAAAAAAATTATTTAGTTCTATACAAAACAGTCTTTTTTTTTGACATTTTCAAGATGAAACAGACCCTGGTTATGCTCCATCATAAAAATGTCAAGAAAGTCGAACTTTCTTCAGCATTAACTCTCTGTAAAATGCGACTGCGCTTCGAAGTAGTCCGAGTGGTGACATATGTCAAAAAAGTCTACTCGATCGCGAAAATGTCGATGGCTTCCTCTTTCGAGGATTGCTTACAAGCAAGTTGATTGCAAAGCCCTGACATGTGCCAGGGCCGATTTAAAAATATCAAAATTCCTTTTTGCCCTTCAATTTCTTAATCATTTCTACATAGGCACAACTATTTTACATCCAGTCCTCGCTTCTTGCAAGACAACTTGTAGAAATCACTCAATTTTAAAACAATAAACCAGCTGCCCGAAAAAAAAAGAAATGGAACCACCACACTTACAATATCGTCTGGACTGTGAATGACATATTCGTGTAGGCGAGCTATGGCCGAAGATGGGTATTTTGAGATAAGCATTTCTCTCTTCTTTTCATCATCACCTCTTTTGGCATGCAGCAGAGCCCAGTCATACACCTTAACAATGAAAAATAAAAAACAGCATTTGTATGGAGTATACCTCCGGAGTAAACACGTTTCCATATAATTTTTATACGTTTTTTGCAGCTGTGCAATGCGGAAAACGTATATTGATGAGAGGTTGTCTGCATGTGTGTTTGTGTGTCTGTGTGTGCGCAGCGCTTCTGTACCGATTTTTCATCTCGAGA